TCCCTAATGATGATTTTTTGGCAAATATTCCATAGGTTCTTTAAAATGGGGAACATTTTTCGCACTTTAGATTTGTTGTCTTTTAATTGCTTAAAAATTTAAAGGGCAAATAACTCTTTTTAAACATGAATTCTTGGATGACAATCGTCATCTGAATGAAAATGTGCGAAATAATAATAATAATAATAATAATAATAATAATAATAATAATAATAATAATATGGTTGAGTATATACAATTAACAAAGATTATAGACATTTAGCATAATTAAAATATGGTGTGATTAAAGAAAATTATGGTAAAAATAAGCACTGCCACAATTTTAGTTAGAGTAATGTTACGTAGTCTCATTGAGTTACAAATCCAATTTAGGTGGCACTAGATTATAAGTTAAATGAAAGATGAAATTAAATAACACTTTTACTTCCACTTGTCATTTAATGCCACGTTGAGCTACCTAGATTGGGGTTTCAATTCTAGCGGGGTCAAATAGCATTATTTTTTTTAGTTAATTGCACCAAATTTTAATTTTAATTATAGGCCTCAATTTTTCCTCATTTTCTCATTTGAAGTCCCCATCTTTTTTTATCATATTATTACTTTAGCATTCAATGTTTTTATTTTATTTTTTCCTATCCAAATTAGGTTGGATTTTTGAGAAAATATTTTTTCCCATTATTCCACGTGATTTTTTTTTTTTCTTATTTCAATCTTTGTGGTATTTTTAGGATTCGACATGCATTTCTATAAATACTAGACTCTTTCCTACACAATTATTATATTTGTTTTCTCCATATTAATTAATTGAATAAAATACTTCGTTCCTCTTCCAATTAATTCCTTGATTTTTATATTGTTGTTTATTTACAATCATATACTTCATATTGAGTCATATATGTTACATCGATCTATTTTATTTCCCAGCAATTGGTATTCGAGCTATAGGTTGTGATCTGTTTGAGGTTTTTGTTATAAATAAAAAAATCCCTTCTGTTTTCTTTTGATATCTAGTAGACATGAAGTATGAAAATTTTGTTCTTGGATTGTAATAAAGATTCTCATTGTGGCAAGTGAAAACGAGAACTATAATCGCTCAAATAGATTTGGATGATGAATTGTTGGGATTTGACAAAATGCCTATAACTTTGACAATGAAGGAAAAACAACGGAAGACATTTTCACTGATTCATCTTCATCTCTCTAACAATACTCTCTAGGACGTTTTGAAGAAGAAAATAGAAGCTGCTTTGTGATTGAATTTTGAGTAATTGTACATAATTAAAAGTTTGAGAAGCAAATTGCACTTGAAGTAGAGGTTGTATTCTCATTGTATGGCAGAATACGGTTCTTTGAAAGATCATCTGGTTGTGTTCAAGGAGATCATCGCTGATTTGGAGATTTTAGAGATAAAGTATGATGATGAAGATTTGGATTTAATCATTTTGTGATTGCTGCTCGCTTTGTCAACTTCGTTTAGAGACACAATATGGTATAATAGTGATACCCTCACCATTGAAAATGCGTATTGTGCCTTATTGTCAAAAGAAAAGATAAAGCATATTGTTGGATCTAAGGCTAGAGATAGAGAAAGTCTTGTTATTCATGGTGAACGAAGAAGGGCTAAATTAAGGTAAAATTTTAATAATTAGGATTGTTATTTTTCAAGAAGAAATAAGACATTAAGAGGAGCAACAAAAATTGTAGAACTAAGGTAATTTGGTTGTAAATATGAGAAACAATCAAATACTTCAAACTAGACTAACAAAGACGAGAACTATTTGGAAGATGGAGATGTTATGGCGATTTCTGACATGGAATCAAAACCTGGAGAGGAATGAATTTTCGATACAATTTGTGTTCTATATATCTTCTAATCGGGATTTATTTAAAATATATGAAACGGTGGTACAAGGAGCTGTTGTCATGGGTAACAACAACCTTATCGAGTAATTGGTATTGTTAGAGTCAGATTGAAGCTGGTAGATGAAATATATAGAATACTTGATCATGTTCAACATATTTTATATTTGAAGAAGAATCTCATTTCATCGAGTACTCTTGATTTAAAAGGGTACGTGTTCTCTAAAGGAAGTGGAGTCTTGAGGGTTCGAAAGGATGTTCGTATTGTACTAGAGAGGGTAGAAGAGATTCCAGTTATATATCTTGCAAGGTTGGACAGAATTTGTGAAAAAAAATCAGCACAAATTTGGCACCGTGATGGAGATTTAGTTTGGTACTGTACCTTTGGGATGTGGTTTCGAGTCCATATTGAAGAATACTACTCAATCGAGTTTGGAGGATGTGGGTAATTTCACTTTGCCATCAACATCTGTGGTTCCATCATATTCAACTTTAGGGTTAGACCTATTGGAGATAGGTACGAGGATGCCGATTCAATTGCACATGTTTTTAACGTTTTTAAAGGTGTTGAGACTAGCTAGCGGATTTCTATTAAAGTGTTGTGAGTTGATTGTGCTACAGGTATGAGCTTCGACGTTGTTCAGTAATTTCTAATTCTTTGCGAATTTTGGAGAACCCGGTCTTTGGGTTCATGTCTCCATGTTGGATCCACGGAAGAGGAATATTTTTGTGTTGGAGAAAGTTCTGTTCTTGTTGAAGAATTCAGATTTTTCATCACAGTCAAATTTAATTTTCCAAGTGGAGAAATTTTGAAAATTCGTTCATTGCATTGAAATTTGTGTCAAGGTGGAGATTGTTAGGTCTTTTTTTTTTCGAAATTAGGTTATATTTTTGAGAAAATGCTTTTTCCTTTATTCCTTATGATTTTTTTTATCTTATTTCCATCTTATGGTATGTCTAGGGTTTGGCATATACCCCTATAAATGCGAGACTCTTTTCACAAGTTTTGAAATATAGAATAATTGTGTAGGCTAAATTATTGTATTTGTTCTCTCCATATTAGTCATTTGAATTAAATACTACATTCCTCTGCTATTAATTTTTTGTATTTTATCTTATTGTTTGTTTGCGATCGCTCAATTTCTCAACATTCAGTAAATTAACTAATGATGATTTCTTCGGAAATTATTTGTGGTCAAGTGCCAATAGCTGAATAGCATGATGATTCAGGCAAAGGAAATAGAAATAGTCCTTCGTTATAAGTAATGACTAATGAAGTAACAATTAATCTCAATATGTTAGAAATGCTTTTAAAAGATAGAAATATGAACAATTTGGATAGCATTCTTATCAAAGGACAAAAAACACTCAAATCCTCCAATCACCAACTTTGTCAAACAGTCATAAATTTCCGAGCAGAATACCCTGATTCCATTGAAGTGCAAGAAATAGTTTTATCTTCTTATTTCTTGAGAAATCAAGAAAAAAAAATCAATTATAGATTTAGACTCGTCAATCCAACTTTTACCCGAAAAAAAAGGTAAAAAAGCATAAAGTTCTAAATTAGATGTGAAATTAAGTAACAAACTTTAATAAAGTTTCTCAATTACACTGTAAAACACGAAGAAAAATGACCTAGAAGAAAAGACACTCACTCACGATAGAGGGTGACAAATTGGCTGATAGCCCGGGCTTGATCCACGGGCATTGTCCATGATGAGTTGAATTAGGACAGTTCGTGTGCTTTTTTATTTTTTATTAAGATGAAGTTTAAAGAAATATATATAATAAATTAAATACGGGAAAAGCGTGGGAATTTCACAAAATTAATATTAAAAATAAGGAAAATAGGGAGGGCTTGTGACCTGTTCTTTAAAGCCGCGGGATTTATTTGTCAAGCTCGACTCGATCCATGGGCATGTGGACCAAATTGAAACTAACTTATAATTTAGGTAACGATCCATGCAAAATAATAATAATAATAATAATAATAACTACTCGATTAAAGTGAATACATAGTTTGATAATGAACAAGATTTGTGACCCTTGCATGATACTTTCATTAAATAACTATTAAAAGCGTGTAT